TCGTTTTTGCAGAAAAACGATAATTTTGGAGAACGAGGTAGATGGGCCTGAATATATGTCGTCAGTGCTTATTTACTTCTGTCCGTTACCATTGCAAGATTCTTTTATTAATATTATTTGTTCATGTCTCATTTCCATCCAAGATAAGAAGATATGATTGATGCGCATAAAGCTGTCTCAAAGCATAGTGCCTGTTCATGTTGCACTGACCCCACTTCTTAAACGAATAAGAAATACTTAACGTGTTTGTTTAAACTGAAGAAGATGGCTCACTGACCAGCACTGTCCTTGTAGTGACACGTGATGCCCATATAAGGAGTTGTCCTTGAGTTCAGCTTCAGCAGCTCCCGAGGTGTAATCTTCCTTTATTTTGTTAGCACAAGCACGTCACAAGCACACCACAAGCACACCACAAGCACACCAGCACACAAGCACGTCACAAGCACACAAGCACACAAGCACAAGTAAGCATGTCCAAATACTACCAGATCCAACAATGAGTTTGCTCCTAACCTAGCTCTGTTGGCACCGTGTACGTTAGATAATAATATAAGTCAGATTAGTCGGTCACAGAGTCCTGGGTCAAAATTATTGATAATCAACTAATTTCTTTATCTATTATTAAGCTCAGCATCTGTCATGACACGTTTATCTCTCGGACAGGTCGGGCATGATCGTTCTTATTCCTTTTAGGGAATTAACCATCTTTTGTTAAAAATAATCTTAAGTTAAACAAAGCCACATTCTTTAGTTTTGATTGTCAAGTTGCAGCCAAGCAAATATATTTCTTCTATTCAACCTTTTCAATTTGATTGTCGTTACAGTCTCAGTAGGTCTTGACTATTTACTCATTTTGTACTACCCCACTGAGACACTAAAAACGAGTATGCAATTTGTTTAAATATACAATCAAATAATAAATATTGGTGTATATAACACCACTTTTGACCTATTTGACCTATTTGACCTATTTGACGGCCACTTATTTTTTTTCATAATCGCACTGGTTTTTATTTTATGGGAGTGCGATTACAAAACTAAGAAATAAGAACTTTTCCCAAATTTGGACCAACAACTCAACAAAGTGGTGTCAAAAAGTCAAAATCGATTTATTTTTAGGTAACATGGGCAACAACGAATCATCCAAGTTATCTGTGACCGCAATCCCTGATTCCTATATTGCAATCTCAATATGTTTCAACTCAAAGATAAGAGTCATGAATGTGACTCCGGAGGTGAGAGAAATGCTTGTTATACTTGATCAGGAAATAGAGGCTAAATATGGATCCACTCGAGGACGTCTCATAGATTACTATGGTACTGTAAAGATGCATGTTGGGGATAAGTTTACTTTTGTTCCTCGGAAGGGTAAAAAAAGAGCTACTCTCGGAAAGTTTTTTGCCATACGTGTCCTAGAGGAAATGTACAATCTATGCTATAACCTGATTACAAGTAGTGATTTAGCAATGTATTCTGACAAATCTACTTGGTTCTTTGCAAAGGAGGCAATATCTGATGAAAACAGAGGTAAATCTAGAGTTTGCTGTATTGCTCCTGGTGGTGGACTGCGAGGCAACAAACTTGTCCTTCTACATCATGATGAGCATATAAAACAAGCAGTTATGCTAGCTCTTGAAGATGCTTGGGCCAAAGGTGTATCAGGAACTAAGGACGTTCAGTCTTCAGGCGAAATCCTGCATGAGATTACTTTGAAAGGCACCTGGGGTTCGACTAATGAGGACAGAATAAATACTCGTAAAGCAGTTTGCAGTATAGTGGGAAGGATGGGTGAGGTAAACTGGAGACTTATCACTTCAACTAATCTGAAAGACACTGCAGACTGCTTCTTCTTCATATACGATCCAACTTTTACTGCTCATCCAAATGATTTCTGTATGCTGTCCCTGGCTAAAACGGACAGGTTGAGGTTAATTAACTGCAACCACCTTCTTGAGCCTTTGGAGACGGCTATTACTGCTGCTGGTCTTTCTATCCAAGAAAAGCTGGATTATTACGGTAGCCATGAGATAAAAATACATGGAACTCCTTGGTGTTCCTCGGATAGTGAAGCCATTGTTGCACGAAGAAGTATTTCAAGGATTATGGAAGTTTTTGGGAAAGGTGGATACACTCCTCTATACGCAATTGACATGTACCGTAGCTTGATTGACAAAGCCTATTCTCTTTCGGAAAGATCCTTTCCCAATGAACTGTAAATATGCTTGCTTGTCATTGACCTACTTGAATACGCTTCGGTTACTTGATTTCCCCATCGATGTTGGTGTCCCATTGAGGGATTGTATCTACCAGTTCTATCCGTTTGGTGTTCAAAAGGAGGTAAATTTACCAGACTCGAACCTAGAAATAAACGTTGAGGGAAAGCCCTGGATTACTAATACTTTTTCCAAGGGTGCTAACTGCTTTCACATGAGAGCTGTATTGGGCAAAATGATGGCGGTTGCGGCCCAACATGGCTGGTATGTATCCATTTCAGGAGATATTTCGGCAAAAATTTTTGGCGAAAACCAAGATAGACATCCGATAGATGTTCATAGCATCTATTTTATGAAAATGTATTGAGATTTCAATTGTAGCTTTAAATATGTTTCAAGGGCCAACAGTCAGCCCACTCAGTTGATGGTAGAACCGTGGGTCTTTGTAGGATGTTGTAACAGGGACTCCACTTCTTTTTTTTCTTGCTAACTAAATTGCATAGGAACACTTGAGGACACTGCTTTCTTCACTCTCTTAGTCACACCAAAATATGGCTGGTAAGGTATGATGCCAGAAGCCTATACACCCAACCTCTAACGGAAAAAGCTGAGCTTTCCACCATAAAGCCCAGGAATAAGCTCTTTGTTATAACGCGCTTGTTCCTACTTGGTTACTCTCATTGCCAACCATCAACTCTACTTAAATCACAATCTTTCCTGTGTCCGACCAGACTATAATATCGGGTCTCTCCGTCGATGTGTTGGGGGAACTGTGCTGGGAACTAGCTTCGTCCCAGACCATCTGTCAATCATGCTCCATGTCAAAAGGGCTCTCTCTTCACCTAAAAGTTTTGTTTTTGATAACTACTGCTTGAAGGACTACTATCATGTATCAACAAAAATATGGTTCACCATATATATTATTATTTATATTTTCCGTTTTATCATTTTCATTTTATCTTTTAAAGCATTTTTTGTAAACCTACGTACAATACTAAAATTTGTATTAAAATTTATTTAATGTACCTAGTTGTAGCTTGAGATTCTGTAACGTTTGTAAGGGGTCGTTCAAATGTTATCACTTAGGGGGAGAGAGTGTTTTATGATTACGCTAGTATAATTTTAACACAATAGCTATGTGAAAAAAGGGTAAAGGAGGGGAGAGGGTTAATAACTGACCCAAATGTGATTACCTGATATAATGTGAGAATCCCCCTTTGACTTACATTTTTATTTTATCAAGTATTTTCTTTTTACCGATTTGAATGTCCTGCACAGCATATTGAAGCTTCTTCAAATTATTTTTATTGTTATTGTATTGCTGTGTAAATTGAATTATAATTTTAATTCTAATTTTCAAGACTTTTGGAGGATAATTGCTACAATATTAGTAAAGCCACCTCGAGGTAAATGGTGTCATGTGGTAGCAGTCAACATGAAATTGTGAAAATGGAATAAAACAAGGACTGACTGTTAGTGAACTAGACACGTGAATAATCTCCAAAAGAAGAGCAGTTAGGAAAACGTTCTATAAGTAACTTAAACAAATGAAAAAGAATAAAACAGATGAGGTCCAAAATGAAGACATGAAAGATGCTTTAAAAAAGAGTACCTCTAAGGATGACACAGCGCCGTGCAACTCGCTGCAGAACACCAATTCACTGGTTGTTCACAATTTAACAATTTAAGAACATTTGTGGTACTGCAATCCAACATAAAAAAGCAATACAGACTTCATATAAAATACCACATACCTTAGGGCCAATAAATTTGCTTCAAAATAAATTTGGTTACCATAATTTTGGTCACCATAATTTTAGTCACAAATTTCGCAAATCTTTAGTCTGCAACAATTTTTGTCACAATTTTCGACTTTTTGAGACCATTTTCCATTCCATTTACCTTAAGAACGACAAACTTAGTCTACCCCGTTTGAGCATTACAGATTAAGCCGCAATGCATTACTCAGGAATTTAAATAACATCAGATCCAGAGTTTGTGACACTGTATCACTAAGTTCTTCAGTACACTGTCAGTTTCTTTTTCACCTTTTTCGACTTTACCATTTTTGTCGGTACGACTTAGTTTATGTCGATATGATCCTTCAGCCATTTCAACAGAGCATGGATTGGGATGGATCAGATTAAAAATATAATGTCCAAGAGGAGCTCTAACCTTTTAAGTGCAATAAGAATTTGGTACGGTTTAGTGCAGTAGGAACGGTGATGTCATTATATTAATTATAAAGCCCTATAAACAATGTAAGCTTAACAATATTCAATATTCATGTCATATATGCTCTACTGAAATTTTGGTCTCCTATAAAATAAGTCGCCGAAAAATTTTGTCTCATGAAATTTGGTTTACAACAATTTAAGTCAAAAGTTTGACTAAATTTATGGTAGACTAAATTTGTCGTTCTTAAGGTAAGTCAGAATAATACAGAATAACAAATACAAACGCCTTACATGAACATTACGAAATTGTAACATAATACAAAAACCTGTAGAGTGGCTGCTTAAAAAAAAGGTAACCTCATGATCAGAACAATGATTATATAGGGTCTAATATTATTTCAAACTTGCCCTCAAATGTGTGAACTGGGGACTGTCCGTGAATGGAAAAAAAGTGAAATGGTTCTAGAATGTGTGATGATTCAGGAAATGGATTGAAAAATAGATACCCCTAAAAATAGTGCCCCAGGAGATATCCCAGCTTCCCAAGGACAAAAGGAAATCGCGGCATGTACGGAATCGCGATTTTTCCCATTATTTGCGACAAATTTTTACTATATAACAAATAATTTGAGGTATGAGATATGATAGACGAGCGTAAGTGTTGACGTGCAAAGGACTGCTGTGAGTGTACTTGAAGATTACTCATCCTCCTCCTTCTCATCAAAACTATTCTCATCAAAACTACTATCTGGACTGAAGGTATTGCGTTTACAGTGTTTATTGTGCTTCTGAACATTGAACTCTTGATAATATAACTATGTCAAATAATCAGAGCTCAGACATTAGTCTCCACTCTTGTGAGCGCCCTTTAGAACATTTGAACTTTTCATTCCAGTCTGAAAAATCAGAGAACTGTATAGTAACAATTGTCTGTCAACAGTAACAATTGTCTGTCAAAAGACATCAAGATTGACTTTTTAGAAAAAAAGTTGTCTTTATTGAATGAAATTATCAGAACTAGTGATCTCATTGCTCAGTACAATGATAGTCTCATATCAGATCAAACTCAAATACAAGAACAGAGTTTTAAGTGTGAAAATTTGCTGCCAAACTTATCAGAGGAGATTGAATGTGAGATCATAACCATTACCCCTCAGTCACACGTTGTTATCAATCAAGTAGAAGCGTTTGATGTAGATGACATTGTTGTGGAAGATGTTGTATCGGACAGTTTGTTTGTTGACAACGATGTCGTGGACAAGGTTGTTCCACAGGAGGTTGTTGGAAACGAGATTGTTATCAGTGAGATTGTTGTTAACGAGGTTATGGCAGACGAGGATGATGTGTCTGATCTCCCTGTATCTACTGCTACTGGTGAATCACGGATCAACACCCCTAAGCCCAGAGACAAATATCCAAACTTGGTCCCTGCCCCTGTCTACGATCCTATAACACCGGGGCCAATGAATATATCTGTAATTTGTTTCCCATCACCAGTGAAACCAGTTACCCTACTAGATGATGGTCCATTCTCTAAATTTTCACTTGATCTATTAATGGAAGAACTTGAGTTCAGTCACGGTTTTAAAAACAGGAAATCGGTTTATTTTGGTGACTTTCCCTATGAGTATTCAGGTGCAACACATGACCCAAAAAGTGTACACAATGATTCCTACCTTGCTAAACTCAGCTCCTACATTAATGTGATATTACCCAATTTCAGACACAATAGTATTCTCGTCAATCTATATGAAACTGGAGCAGAGTTCATGCCAGCTCATAGTGATTCTGAATCATGTATTGTAGAACACTCTGATATTGTAACCATTTCACTTGGTGCGACGAGAACACTGCAAATTAGATCAAACGGCAGCAATGAAGTTGTGGGCTCTGTGCAGCTTCAGCATGGAGATGTCTTCATCATGTCCAAATTGTCTCAGGCTGACTTTCAACATGAGATACTGCCAGACGAAATGTGTGATGAACCCCGGATCAGCATCACCCTAAGACTGATGAAGCCCCCTAGGATCACTCAGTCAACTGAGTTTGGTCTGCGTTCACCGCCCCCACCCATCCCTCATTCAGGACACAAACTGACAGACTCTTCTTCACCTGCACTCTCAGTTTGCAAACAGTCAGCTAAAGCTTCACAAAAGTCTGTCCTATTCATAAGCAGCTCTATGTTCAGGTTTCTTGATGCGGACAAGTTATCATCGTCCACTGTTAGTGCTAGTAAACTGTTTTATCCTGGGGCTGATGCCAAAGTAATGTTAAATAAACTAAAAACTGACCTACACTCTGTTCCATCCCCATCTATTATTTATATTATGACAGGAACTAATAATGTGAACACAGTCTATTTTGGCTCAAAGTCACTGAAGGATGCAGCGGGTGACTTTAGTAATCTCTTAAATTATCTCAAGTCAGTGTATCCGAATGCAACAATTAATGTTCTCAATATTCTTCCCAGGAGTACAAAAGGCCGCAATGATGTTGTGGCAGAGCTGAATAAGGTTATTAAGGATATGTGTAGCAAAGATTCTTGTTTTAATTACATTAGCACCCATAATTTATTTAACTATAATAGAAGTGGATTCAGGAAAGAATTTTATTTTGCCAGACCATCTGCAAAAATATCTGATAACTGTCACCTCAATACAAGCGGTGTTATTCGACTTGCTAAATTTCTGAAGTATTGGGCCCATAAGCAAGTTTGAATTTTCAGAAAGATTGTTAACATTTATTTCATCTAGATAAGGGATAATTACACATTGTTCCTCATGTTTATTGAAGTTTTAGAAAGTTTTGTTATTATCTCATACAAATTTGCCAGTTCTGCAATTTATCTTATTCTGACAAGTTTATAGCAGCATAAATTGGAAAAATTTTCATGCTCTCACAGCAGTTCTTGCATTAACCCGTGCATTAGTAAAATCACAGTTTCATACCATGCCAAAAAGCTTGCAGTGGGACATTGCAACATGCAGGGAGGACTAACAGGTATGCCAAAATGTCTTGAAATCCAAGATCTAATCTGGAAAGAGAAATTAGATGTTTTATGCCTGAATGAAACAAATCTTAAGTCGGATATTGACTCAGCCAGTCTAAACCTACCCAAGAATTTTACTTTTATCCGCAAAGACCGTCCTAACGACAATGGTCATGGGGATGTGGCATTCTCATCAGTGAGCACATAAAGTTTAAAATGATTCAACTAAACTTAGTTTTGCAATATAATGACCAAATCGAGGCTATTTGGATCCATCTTACAGATTGCAATATTTTCATCTGCTGTTTCTACAGATCTGAGTTGTTTAGTCCTCTTGACAAATTTTTAGATTATATGACAGACTGCATGATGAGTATAGGAAGTAACAATGTTATTTGGCTGGGTGATGTAAATGTAGACCAAAACAACATCAGCAGTATGAACTATAAGAAATTAGACATTACAATGAAAATGTTTGGAATGGTACAGGTAGTTCAGGATATTACCCGCATTGCTAAACTAGGAAACAGAATCACAAAGACCACAATCGATGTTGTCATAACAAACACTTACTCCAAGTTTCTTGACTGCAAAGTCCTTGATGATTGTATAGGAGATCATCAGGTCGTAAAGTTCATTGTCGATTTCAATGTGCATAAGGCCTCAAAATTCAAGAAGTTACTAATAAGAGATCACAGCAAAATGAATGTTACTGCTCTTAAAGAATTTTTGGAAACTTGTGATTATAGACCAATAATAGATTCAACTAGTCTGAATGATGCAGTTGATGGTTTAAACGAACATATTGATCACTACTATGATCACTTCTGTCCAATTAAACAAATTAAGTGCCATAGTGATTACATCCATAAGCCATCTCCAGAATTTTTAGAAAGTAAGAAATTGAAAGGGAAACTTTACCGTAAATTTTTAACACACAACAAGAACAGACGTATACATCCAAATGGTCTTATACACTGTAATAAATGTGACTCATTATGGATGGCATATAAACGGCAGAGAAACTATTCAACCTATTTGTCTAGAATTAATAGGAAGACTAACTTAGCAACAGAACTGAAAGCCAAGTGTGCCATGAATGATCTAAAGGGTGTATGGAAAACGATAAAGACAGCATCAAATCTGCCTGTTAAAGCTAACAATATCAATAACAATCTTGATGCTGAAACCACCAATAAATATTTTGCTGAAATAGGTCCAAAGATCCAAGCAGAAGTGCAGCTGGAAAATGAAAATGAATTTCTATCTTATCTACAAAATAAGCAGATTGACAACGAGACCAGCTTGAATAGCTTTACTGAAATAACTGAGTCCAATATCTTAGACTATGTGGCAAGTATCCCTTGTAGCAAATCCACTAATGATCATATACCATTGAGAGTGTTTAGACAAATTTTACCTGCATTTATTGCTCCATTAACACATCTTGTAAATTTGAGTTTATCCAGTGGCATCATGCCAAACAGCTGCAAGGTTGCAAAAGTCACCCCAATCCATAAGGATGGTGATACTGAGAATCCTAGTAATTATCGACCAATCTCAATTTTACCGATTCTTGGAAAGTGCATCGAATTTTGTGTGAACTCCCAACTGACTCAATATCTTGATAAAAGGGAATACTTTCAGAGCATCAATATGGTTTCCGTAAAGATCACTCTACAACTTATCTCATGTTAGATCTGTTTGATCGTATATTTACTGCTAAGAACAGTGCCAAGCATCCTGCAATTATCTTCCTGGACATCAGAAAGGCATTTGATACTGTTAACCATGATATTCTCATTCAAAAGCTGAAGCATTATGGAATAAAAGATACTGCATTGAGCTGGTTTAGGAGCTTCCTCACAGATAGATTACAGCAAACTAGAGTTGGGAGTAGGATAAGCAGTTTACATTCATTGAACTCTGGAGTGCCTCAAGGAAGTATATTAGGACCAATTCTATTCAGCATTTTTATCAATGACCTGCCTAATGCATGCCTATTTTCTAAACCTTATCTATTTGCTGATGACGGTGCATTATATTTTGACAATATATCTAGAGGAAACTATGGTAACATCAAACAAGAGTTGAAATTAGTTATCAGATGGCTTCAGGCTAATAAACTATCCCTGAATAATGAAAAAACAAAACTAATGATCCTTGACTCTAAGCCTAACCTTGATGCCATCCTTGTTGAAATTTGTGATGACCTTACTTTGGTAATCTGTGAAACTAAATCCCATAAGTACCTTGGACTTATAGTTGACAGCAGATTGACATTTAATGAACATATTGATAACATTAAGAAAAAGATATCCAAAAGAATTGGTGCTATGTATAGATCAAAAAAACTTCTCCCTCTCTTAAGTTCAGGAAGATGTTTGCTAATGCACTTATGTTGCCACATTTTGACTACTTAGACACCATCTGGTCAAGAACATATAAAAAACGACTAGGAGAGTTAGATATCATGTACAAAAAGGTTGCTAAAATAGCCCTAGATGTAAACATCAGAGAGAGGTCGGTTAATGTATACAAAAATATGGGATGGCTTCCTCTCCATTTGAGACGACAGGTTCATCTTAGCTCATATATGTACCGTATAATCAATGAAACATGTCCAAAGCATTTTATCGGGAA